CCGTTCCTGGGAGGTGGCGGCAGCATGGGATAGTGGGTGATAGCACTCTGTCCCTGCCTGCCTCCCCGTCCCCCATCATTCTTGACGGGCAGTTTGTTAGTCTTTTAATAATGCTTATGTAGAAGATGCATTTAATGACTCAATAGTATAGGAACCCATAAAAGGTTAGTAGGGGTAACATGGTAGGAAGCTACTGTCAATATAATTTTATTCATTTTCTGTAAGATATAAACCCCAATATTAGAACAGTTACTGACAGTATGTTTCACTCCTAGATCATAGATATATCTCACACTAAGAATGTTATTGCCTTTTCTAACTCACCATTCTGCTGGGTTTTTAGTTCTAAATGTTGTAGTTAATGTGACACTTGGAGGGAGATCAGCAAGGAACTTTTAAAGTTCTTCTTGTTCCCTCTCTTCATGGATGTCAGGTGATTTGGGCCTAACTAATGGCCTTAAAAATCTCCCACTGAGATAATTAGAGAGAGACAGAGAGTACCTTGCTAAACAAGCCTTCCAATCTGCTTGTACACTTTACCTCCTAGAGTATATTACACTTTTATAGGCTGTAGGGCTCTTCAAGGCTCAAGGGCTACCATTGACTTTAGTAAGGAATGAAAGATCAGGACCAATGTCCATGCTTTGCCATCATTATTGTACTATTATTAGAGGTTAGCATGCTACTTTCTTACAGGCTTCTGAACTGCTTGTTGGATGTCAGTTTACATTAAGGTAGTAGTCCCTCCTCTAGTTTTTGTTTTGTCAAATGACAAGCTTGGATAAATTCAAAAACAGATTACAGGGCAAACGATCATAAATAATTAACTGGTATGTTTGTCTCCTATCCATCATAAACTACTTGGACAGTCATGTGTCATGGCCATTCTCCAGCACTATTATACCTCCTCAGATTTAAGAGGTCAGAACATGGAAATAAACAAATGATCTGTCTGGGGCAGCAGCTGCCATTGATTCTTGCAGTTATTGAGTTGGGAAAGGAGTGTAAGCCAGTAATTTGTGAGTTAGTAATAGACTAGCAGTGGGGCAGGTATACCTAATTCAGAAATATTTGAATCCATGTGATAAATTCAGTAAATAGTTATAACACCACAATTTATCTTTAACAGAGCAATTAACTTACGAGATAAAGAATATTACTGGAAGAATTTTGAATGAATTTAAAGACAACGATTTGTTGGTTTTAGGTCATTTTTTATGATCCTTTTCCTTTCTGTTGCCTTTTCATGTCAGCAGTAGCAGTAAGATTATAACACTACAGAGAACGTCCCCACTGAGGAGTTCTATGACTGCCAACCTTTAATTTAGCAATGTGCATGGACTAAACTTTGCAAGGTCACTCTGTTCCCTTGCCTCCCTGAGAGAGCTTTAAGAATGGCAAACCACCCAGAGCCTATGGCCTTACAATGACATGCTCAAGAAGCAATGTTCAGAAAGTTTTATCATCATCATCACAAATACCAGAAAGCTAGAAATAGCTAAAGGTTTGGAGTTTGGTTTGGTTTTATCTTGTTTTGTTTTAAATCATAGTGATTCTCAAATGGTGGTTTGAAAAATGACCCTATTGTGTCTGTAAGATGCAAAATGTACCTGTTACAAGCCTTCTACATACTTTGCACGTTGACAACTGTTTGAGCAAAATGGGAAATTAACCATGGCAGATAAAAAATTCTACCTAGTCTCTCAGGCCTCCTAGCAGGGGAAGTTTTGCACAGCTTGCTTTGTTTCGTATATGTCACCATAGCAACATTCTGCATTAGGTTTCCTTGTTTAGACCTGCATTTAGTATCTGCTAAGAATTTGTTGTTATTTTCTGAAAATTTAGTCCCATAGAACAATCAATAACTGATTATAAATTAAGAAAAAATGTTTCCCAAAGATTAAAATACTTTTCTAAGTTGCTGGCTTTTGGGTTTTTTTCAGCTATATAAACCAGTCAAGATGTTAAGTCTAGAGTGCTCACTAAACACACAAAAATAGGTTAAAACAGTGGGGGGGCAACCTTTTTGGCAGGCATGGCACAAATTAACCTGGTATCCTCCCCAAGTGTGCTGCCTGTGCCACTTGTGGTACTGCTGCTGCATGTTGGGTTAAAACAGAATAAATTCTATGTACTGTATAGTATAACTGTGATCATAAAGGAAGTAAAAAAGAAAAGTTGTTATTAAACAAAAGCCATTCCCAGAAAGACCTATTTAAGTAATTAGTGACAAGAACTGTTTCTTTAGTGACTCTAAGCATAAATATTTTTGTACTGTATTATCTTTTTTATTTAAATTGTTAAGCCTCTTACTCTGTAAAGGCTGAGGACATTAGCTGCTCTGGGACACTGAAAATGGCTTGCAAATAGGTTACAATACAGCCAGTGTCCACTTAAGTTGGTAACAATAAGAATAACTAAATTTGAGGATGGTTGCTCATAAATCCAGGGTTCTGGGCTAGCTCTGCCTCTAATTAGCATGTGAATTTGATTGAGTTGGTCAAGTTATTTCACCTATGTATCTCACTTTTCCCTTTTGAAAAAAGGGATTCCATTGCTTACCTGCATCACAAGCATACTTAGAAGTGTTTGTCCAATGTTTTGAAAATATAAAGGGACAGACTTCATGAGTCGGGTATTACCTAGTGATTGATTAATAACATTATCTAATTGTTCTATAAGCACCCATTCAGCATGAGGCCACCTCTCTATTAGTATTATAACCTTCAGCAGGCAGAAGCTGCAAGGAACCCGATTCTTTTTTTTTTCTCACGCAGTCTGCCTGAGGCCAGGGGGCAAGCTTCCAGTGGGCTGAGCAGCCTCCTGAGCTGTGGGGGGCCCCAGTCCATCCCTCCATGGTGGCGGCATCCTCTCATGGTTACCCAGGTGGGCTGCTAGCAGGCTGGGTGCTTCCCCAGCTCAGAGGCACAACTCAGCCGGATCCAACTCTTCCCCGAGTCTGCTGGGGTTTCTAGTATCCCATGCATTGTCTCCAGCACCTTCCTACTGCCTGGGACCATTGGTGATGCATAGGGGGTGCACGTGGGTGCACGTTCACCCCCTGAGAGTGATGGTGCACCCCTTGCAAAAAGTGCTGCTGACACTGCTGGCAGAGCCTGCAGGCAGTCACCACTCGCCCCCCTCCCCCCACTGCTGACACCACCAATGGGCGGTCCCCTATCGCTGCTGACTGGTGTTGATGCTACCAGTGGCATCTGCGAGTGGTCGCCGACCATTGGTCAGTGTTTCCCACCACCCCTCTGCCACCATCAGCGCTGCGGCTGCCTGCGGGAGCTCACTGCTTGTTGCTGCCACACTCATGCTGCCGACAGTGCCACCACCACCTGTGGGAGCTCGCTGTGCCCCCCCAGCCTCCAGGGGCATGCAGCGTTCATGCCTGGGAATGGGCTGGCGTGCCCCTGGGGCAGCATGGGGAGGCAGCAGGAGGATGGCTGGGTGTGCTGGCACCTGGAGAAGACAGCAGGGATGGTGCATGGGGTGCTGGAAGCCTGGGTGGGCTTGGGGAAGTTTGGGCTCAATAGGGTTCTAGAGCCCCATACACCATCCCTGCTGCCTTCTCCATGTACCAGCACATCCATCCACCCTCCTGCTGCCTCCCCACATTGCCTCAGGGTCAAGCTAGTCTATTCCCAGGTAGTCTCAGGAAGCAGAAGGGTGCCAGAGAGAGTGCACAGGACGCTGGAAGCCCCAGAGGGCTCAGGGAAGAATTGAATCCAGCCAGGTGCTGCCTCTGAGCTGGGGCAGCACCCAGTCCACCTAGGCAACTCCAGGGGGTGCCGCCACCATGGAGGGAAGGACCGGGGCCACTCGACCCACCAGCAGCTCACCCCACAGCTGGGGGAAGGCTCCAGCTCTGATAAAAACAACAACAAAAGAAAGGATCAGGCCCTTGCTGTAATGTGACAGAAAAATTGAAACAGTTTACTTCTCAGGGCTTTATTATATACCCCACAATTTCAATTTAGGGGGCACAGAATAAAACCTGGGGAACTAAATCCTCATCATGTGTACAAGCATCCAAAGAAATTAATGAGTTAATGCAAAAGAAACATAGTGCCCTAACTCTGTACCTTAGGCCTTGTATAGATGAAACAAGGGGCATGTGTGCACAACACTTTAAAGCAGGCTAAATGCTTTGGCACCACTTTAATGGTGTTGGTGTTTGCACACCTTGGCAGCATATGCACATTAATTCCAGACACTGTAGGAAATTCATGGAGCAAAACACTGGGCTCCGTGCAGCTCCAGAGCTCTGCAGGAAGTCCTGCCGGCAGTCTGGCAGCACCCAGGCACTGGGAGCTGAGCAGGTTGAGAAATAGGAAAAAAAAACCCTGCCCTC